ATTTTTTTTTATTTATTAAAAAAAATTATGTTTGATTTTTGTCTTCATTTTTTAAATTTTCATTTGTATTTTTTTTTCCTATTTTTTTATGACTATTTTCTCCTAAAAGATATCAAATGCAAGCCTTTTTTTTAACGTTCCCTATTTAGATAATTAGCCACTTAAAAAAGAATAGAATATGTGCAATGAAATTCTAATGTATTACATTTATAATTTTTTTTATTATTTTGTTGGCCTTTTAAAGAGAAAAGTGTGTTTAGTGGCAAGTGGAATAGATTTGCAATAGTCTCTTTGGATCCTCTAATTGTAATAATTTGGAGTCTGTATGAGTGCACAATGGAATCTTAGAGTTGGAAAACATTTACAATACGAACAGTTACCCAGCTAACCATTGGGAAAGTCTAAGGAGCTTAGACAGGAACAACAGCTCGTTTGGCATTTTATGACCTGCAAAATGTACGCATACTGATTTCATACATTCAAATTCTATGCCCATTGCAAGTATTTGTAGCAAATAAAGTTTTACCAGAAAGCAGAATTCCTATTAATAATAACCAGCACAGGTACATTCAGATTACTCTGGTTTTCGAGTACCTCCTGGGATATTACTTTAGCCCAAAATCCAGGAGTTGTTACTATAACTCAACTTAATGGTACTCATTTTCTCTACCTCAGAAGGATGAAGAACTGAGCCAACCATGCCAGGATTTGAACCTACTGATGATGCATTAGCCCACTGAGCTGTCTCATAGAGATACGCCATGATAGTGGCATTGGGCACAACTATTACATTTATCAAGTGAGCAGAACTTGTGTAGATGTGGGCCAGTTGCTTTATGATTCTGCAGGGGGAGGGATTCTGCTGTGAAATAGTGCAAAATAGTGTCTGAATTTGCAACGTTCAGGTGAATGATTACAGGGTGACTTCACATGTCATTGACTTCTACTCATACTGTGCAATAAGGAGATTCTTCCCCATCACTGTGGATTTTTTCAGTGGACATATGATGGATATTTTCCGTCATGCTGGCCTTTTACTTCCGAAGCTGTGTCATTAAGGAGTTACATTGAACTTTTTATTGTTATCTTAATCTGCCTTATATGATTTGTTTTGTTTGTTTAATTTAGTATAACTAAATTAACTAGTACAGCTCATTCTATCTTTATTTGTAATTGACCTCAGTGGTATTTTATGTAGGTAGCTGGGGGCCCTGGCCAATAGTTTTGTAAAGGGTTTTGAAATTACATATGGCAACTCTGATAAATCACTCTACTCCGTGATTTACGAGAGTCAATACTAGATTAATTTAAAGGCAGATATATAATTTTTTTTGCCAGAATAAAAATGACAGATCATTTTCTATGAACTTTATTTTCTATAGGTAATTACATGAGTAAATTAATTATAGAATTACTACTAGTGGTCAGCACTCTGAAAGGTCATAGTGTAGAGAGGAATTAGTCAACAAATAGTGACAATCTCTATGAAATTCTAAGCTAAGAGGCAACGAGAAAATAACACTTTGCTTTAGGCTAACTGCAGATCCTAAATATACTTTAGCAAATGTCATTAAAGGCTTTAAAGAACATAAATCTACATGGCCTCTGAATGGCAATAATATTTTTTTCTACAATGTTTTTTACATTCGCATTTCCCACAATAAAAAGGAGAGAAAAAATAATAATAACAGGTTTATTTGCTAAGCAGGAAATAGTAGTAATTTAAGAAGCACATTTGCAAGACAATGAAGTTGGAATCGTAGGTGAACTATAAAACGTTGGAAATTGTCTATCTTGGCCTAAATTTTGCAAATTCGGTTCTCAGTTCACTGCAACTGACTGTTTAGCTGAAAAAAAACTGGCCTTGGCACTTTGTTGGAAATGCTCTTCATGCCATGAGTACGATTGCACAGTAAGAGTAATAAGTGCATTGGATAAAATAAACGTAACACAAATGTCAAAGAATTTATTGTATGTCTGTGTTACATGTTTGGCACCTTCAATGCAGCAGTTTTTACAAAACAATGGCTTAAATGTTTTATGTGAATGGTGATTGCATACTCTATTATTAATAACCCATGTGTTTTTAAAGGAGATAGCATTGACTATTCTATATAAAGATTTATTGCCTCAAACAGTTAATTATCTACATGGAACAACAACAAATAGACAACATACTTTTGCGTGGTTTCAAAATAAAGATAATATGAAACTTAATTTTATTTTTTTAAATTTTTTTGTTGATGGCTGCATTCATTTATATTCTTACATTGATCATGCACATTATTTCCATGGCGTGATTTAATGCGTTCCAATAAAATAGTATCTTTTCTCATGCAATTATGACATTATTCTTGAATGAAGCATCAAATATCTGCACTGTTGCACAGTAATGCATATTTCTTCCAAAGGCTGATAGGGACACCTGCTAACTACCACTTTGGCATATAAGACCATTGAAAACAACTAGAATGTACCATATATTGCATGGAACACGCATATTCTCCATCAAGATATTTACAGTACAGCCAATAAAGAGACAATGTCACCTTCAAATGATATATAGAATTCTAGCAAAAACATATATGTTAACAATATTCAGTGATTTAACAAGCTAGAGAAAATGGCTTAATAGTGAAGAACAATGGCAGTAATAGGGAGAACAGAGAGGGAGCCAGCTATTGTAGTAGAATGAAAAGCAAATAGTAGTATGTTTGCAGATGATACACATCGACAGTACAGTCACAGTTCAGGGTGGGAAAAAAATTATAGCTTTGTCAGGAAAAGCCATGGTTGAGATAACAGCTCAATTGCATAGATTTAAAGGAAGACTGTAGGGTCAGGAATATATATATATATATATATATATATATATATATATGACCCTATAGTATTAAAATCACTATATAGCCCTTATGCCTCCTAAATAGAGTGAAATCTTACCTTATTTTCAGCACCGTGCACCGTTGGCCTTTTCTATGCACATAAAGCCTGCAGGGACATTTTATAGACACCAGAACAACTACATTAAGCTGTAGTTATTCTACTGACTATATTGTCTCTTTAATTATACCACCTTTATTTTCAAGTCATTCCCCGATAGAGTCATTATGTCCATGTGATGTTGTCAGTATGACCAGGATAACATCAAATTCATATATGCAACATCTATTAGTAGCAAATATAGCAATGCATTCAGTAGTTCTCTTAGAAAATAGGTAACACAAATATAAATTATAACACACAATAATGAGTAACCCATTTAAATAACAAATAACACTAGATCAAGACAATCTCACATTCATATCTTGAGGTGTTTGAGTCTAGCCAAATTATGCTTAATCCCCACCCTCTTATATGGGAAATCTTTTCCTACTAATGCACATATTCCTCTTTCAGATGTGAAAAGATTATCCAGAAACACACAATATCTCTGGTCTAGTGTGTTCTGTTCGGCAGGACCTCTAATACTATTTGCACTTAGTACTGAAATATATATATATATATATATATTTCAGAATTATATACAACCAGGAATAAGGTAGATAAAACATGGAGAATACAGTATGATAGTGGCGAGATAAAGAGCAATGTATAAACCATGTAAACAGAGGACCAGCAAATTACTCATTACAAATGATAAAGCCTATACCCCTAGAGGAAATCCTCACCAAGATGAACAGATCAGAAGAGCGCGCCTTGCATAAAAAAGAAGGTACCAATAAATACTAAAAGGGAGAAGAAGAGGTGAATGGAGGAAGAAAATTACAGAAATAAAGCTCACGGGATTTGCAAGTGAATGTAATTACATCAAAGGCTTATAGTCTGGAGATCCTAGGAATATTATCCATTGGATTCAGATGGCAGCATTATCATCCTAATAGATGATCTAAAATGATTTGGGGGCACACACAGAACATGCATTTCTTAGAAGAGGCTATAATGGAAACACCTATAATCATACAAAATGCACAACATGAGAACAGCACAAATACACGAACATACTAAACAGAGAATTGCCTGGGATTCCAAGTAAATTTCCAACTTTTGGCCATCAAAGGCAAATTAGAAAATTCCCCAATTCATTTCTGTTTTTAGTTTGGTGATTTTGACATTAAATTAGAAATTCACTTTGAACTGATTTTGAATTCCTGCCAGTTCGCACTTTAGTGAATAATTCTATAAATTCAGTGTTACAAATCTAACAAGGCAACTTAAAAGCATCCATCTCAATCATAAAATATAGAGATTTGTGGCATTATTGTGATGAAACATATTGTGACACAGTACATTGAACTATTCGAATCTTAAAGTTGAAAATAAAACGTTAGCAGCAGAACCTACTACTGAAATTGTTCAAAGAGGCTCTTCTATAAATAATATTTTACTATGGTCATTGGTTATTTCTTATGGGACACTTGTAGGTTGTGTGACCAAATCCCTATATTCTTTTGTTTGATATGTGCAACTGAGTAGTCATTTTATTCTGAATCTGACTTGGACTGCACTGCCATTTTATTGTGTACAGTTGCAGTCCTGACCAGGTCCGTTGGGTTGAGAAATACACCCTTTCAAAATCAGGTGGCTTTTTAGAAACATCTTTATTAGTGAACCAAGCATTGTACTCCAAAGGATAATGTAGCTGTTTAAATGGGGGACCCGAATGAATGGATGAGGATTTAATATTATGGTGTGATGTGAAAAAGTGCCATAAACCAGGTGAAAGATAATTTCTTTCCATTTATCAGTCTGTAGTATTCATGATTATTATAGGTACCATTCACTATATCATTTATAGCGTGCCATCTTCGTTAATTCCTCTTATCTAACTCAGCCTGTGATTGCTAAGAACCCAAGGTTTTTTCCAATCAGATCAGTGACCTAAAAGCCTACGAAGGGCCATACTAAACAAACCTGACATGGGTAGTGTGACGAATTGCCCTTCGCCACTTGTTCCTGGAGAGGCCTGCTTGCCAGCCTCTTGCCTTGTGACTATGGCCCCTGGTATGTATTGCCCTTTAAAAACGTTATTTGGGCTTATGGACTTTTATTAGACTGTTTCTGGCCCTTTAAATGCTCTGGGAAAAGATCTGTACTTGCTATGGCACTTCGGATGCAGCTGAAGTGCTGAAGTAGTCGAAGTGGCCGCCATTCGACAAGCGAACACGTGGCGGGGGCCATTTTAATTTAGCCGAACACGGTCAGTGGTGTGATGAATAGACCAGTCGCATAGCCCAAATCTGTGGAACTGTTTTGGGCAGGAAGATGTGCGTGAGGTCGGTCAAAGGAGACTTCCAGCTAACGACTGAACGGATTCGCATGAATTTTGGATATGTCGTTCCCATAATTATGCTGTTTCTAAAAATTGAATTTCATGTGAATGTGATGTATAATTTTAAAGTTATAGAAAGTGTGTAAAAAGTATATTTTTTTCGCTTGGAGATATTTGAGCTGATACAGTAATTAGCCCAATTATCTCCCAAGCAGAGGGGAGGAATTTACTGTAATGAATGGGAGTGTTTAACTGTGTGTCTGTTGGTTGTTACATTTGTGTTTTCAGTACCCAACAAGGTCCACGTGGGTGGTAACATGTGGGGAAATGTGTATAAAAGAAGCAATAAAGCCTCAGTGCATTCTGTTACTGTTTGACCCTCAACACGTAGTCTTATCTCGTGATTGGAAGGGAACTGCTATAATCACACAGGGGATTGCTATAATCCCTTGAGCTCTAATCACTTAGCTCTTTTAAGAGCTGTTCCTGATACGCTCTCCTGGAGGAGAAGTCTTTTCCACAGGGTCCTGGAGGACAGAAGCTGATCCAGGGTGGAAAGAAGACGATGAGACTCCAGTTAAGCTACGGCGGTTGTGGAGTATGCGGTGGTTGTAGTGTCCGGTGTTTGTGGTGCTCGGTGAAAGCTAGTAAGCGTCCGTCAACAGAAGGTACTCGGTCGGAGTACAGGTGGTCCGTCACAGGTAGATTGTCATGTTAGTGTTCTCTGTTAAAAAGCCTTTGGTGCTAAAACCCATGTATAGATTTTAGTATGTATTGATGAGATAATTGATTTGAAATGTGCCAATTTTAGAGTGATAATTGTTATTCAATTTCTGATAAAATATATTATATTATACTATATAATATTATATTAATTGATTTAAATAATGATGAAAATGTACTACATGCCCTGAGGACGTCTGGTGGACACAGATGAAACACATTAGTAGAACTCTTGATCTTACAGAGCGCTCACATGGTCCCAATAGCTGCTCATAGAGCTGCCTGCAGGGGGACTGCCTGGGTTGTCAGGCAGTCCCCTAATGGTGTAAAATGGTAAAAGAAGTATAATTACACACTTTAAAATAATTACATGTACATATATAGATATATATATATATATATATATATATAAAACATATATTTGTATTATATATAATATATCATATAATATATTATATATATAATATATCATATCTATAAATGTAATGTCATACTTTTTTTTACTTGGGGGACTTCGCTGAACACAAATATTAGTGTTTCAAAATGATAAATTGTATTACAACGATAATATTGTCAGTGAAAGTTTTTTTTTTGCATTTTCACACACAAACAGCACTTTCACTGATGATATTGTTGTAATACATTTTACTGTTTTGAACCACTAATATTTGTGTTCAGTGAAGCCTCCTAAATATAACAGTACAACCCATGTACAGGTTATATGGTGTTTTGGAAAGTTAGAGAGTAAAATATAAGGCTTGCACTTCAATTCTTCACATTGAAATTTGCCAGATTGGTTACGTTGCCTTTGAGACCGTATGGTAGCCCAGGAATGAGAATAACACCCATGATGGCATACCACTTGCAAAAGTAGACAACCCAAGGTACTGCAAGTGGGGTATGTCCAGTCTTTTTTAGTAGTGACTTAGTCACAAACACTGGTCAAAATTAGCATTCATATTTTCATTTTTTACACAACAACAAATATGAACGCTAACTTTGGCCAGTGTTTGTGGCTACTAAAAAAGACTGGACAGAGTGCCCAAGAGAGAACATATTCCACCTCAATTTATGGGAGGTCACACTAAAATAAGTTGCAATGGAGAGCTGGATGCTTAACTGAAAATTAAAATTAGGATATCACCCTGGAGACCCCAGCTCTTATGCATGAGGTGATAGATACTCATCAATAATAACTCTAGTCAATATGGTAGAGATAAACAATAATAGGACGTAAAAAAAATGCAGTGGGCCACATGGGAAATAAAAGGGGAACTTGGGTAAGTCATGTCATTATTGGCAGCAGGAGTCATAAGTCAGCCGATCCCCTTCAGAGTTATAGGACAGTCGCGGTTTCGTGGGTCGATGATGCTCCACGACTCTAGTGGCCACTGGTGTGATGTCCAGGCCTCATGGCAATTTAGGCCAAGCAATGGTATTGGTAGCTTCCACTGTGTGTCCATCTTCTGGGCCACCACTCGAGCAGGTCCCCGAGGGCTGCAGCCTCTCTGCGTGCGGTGCACTGCAACAGCCTCTCCATGCTGCTGCCTTTCGGAGGTCCGCTCTTCGACTGGAGCCGATGGTGATCTCTGGGGAGGGTGTGCACTCCTTCCCTGTCTGACAAGCTGTCGCAAACATCGGTCCAGCTTTTCCAAGAAGTATGCAAAGAGTCGCCCGAGCTTGCAGGTAAGTTCTCTATTGGTGTCTGCTAGACATGAGTCATCCACCATTTTAGAGAGAGGGGAGGGCTCCTGTTCAGTTCCGGAGTGGAATAGTAGTTTTAAGCACAGGAGGGCCCCAAGAATCACCCCCACCAGTTCTGAGGGGGGGGGCAAACGAGGCCAGGACCACCAGCTACCTTAGGCTACCCTTCCAGGGGCCAGAATTCGTTGCGAGAGAGTTTATTTAGTTTCAGCACAGATAGTACTGCTGATTAGTAGTTGGTTTTGTGCTTTTTTGTGACCGCCCCCCCCCCCCCAATGTTTTTTAAAGTACATTAATACCAAAAGGAGAAGAGTGAAAGTGTTGGTCCATTGGAATTAGAAATTTTGTAAAGAAAGCCTTAGGGCCAGATGACATTCACCTACAAAAGTCTTGTCAGCTTATTCTAGAAGTATTGACATCACTGTTTTTAATCTGTCAGGATTCTTTTCTTTCAGGAGTAGTACCAGAAGACTGGAGAAGAGTAGTTGTGGTGCCTATATTTAAAATGGGTTCAATAGCCCATCTTGTATACTACAGACCTATGAGCTTAACATCTATTGTTGGGAAATTATTTCAAGGACTGTTAAGGGATAATATTCCAGGATTCATTTTGAACAACAATATCATTAGCAGGAATCAACATGGTTTTATGAAAGACAGGTCATGCCAGCCAAACTTAATTGTAAAGATGATTGTAGGAACCGCACTCAATCCCAGCAGCCACCAGTGCTCTGGAACAGGACCAGCAATCCAGCAATCCCAACACGTTAAGGCAAACAAAGGAATTTCCAGGCACTCAGAGTGTTAAAGCCGTAGGCAGATTTTAATGGAACAAAAAAAGAGCAGCAACCGTTGCTGCTCTTTTTTTGTTCCATTAAAATCTGCCTGCGGCTTTAACACTCTGAGTGCCTGGAAATTGCTTTTTCTTAGCCAAACTTAATGTGACAACCTACTGGTTTGGTTTGCTTGGACAGGAACTCAGTGGCAGTGGAATGGCAACCCCTTGCAGACTCAACTTTTCCAGGTGCCTCAGAGTGGTACAGGAACCTGGGAGATCAATGACATGGGTACCTTTATTCACAGAGGAAGCAGAGAAGCCAGAGAAACAGACAGGAAGCAGTGTCTGGCAGTCTGATGGCCAGGGCTAGCAGCAAAGGAGCGAGATCAAGAGTCAAGCTGAAATCATAAGCCAAAAATAATTAACAGGAACCAGAAACAGGAACCAAGATGCCAGGAGACTAGAGCAAGCACCAGAACAACCATGCACTGACTAAGTGCAGGGCTTAGTTATTTATAGGGAGAAACGATTGTCTCCCACTCCCCTGCATGCTGATCTCCCAAGCCTATAAAGGAAGGGAGAAGACTAGACTGGATTAAGTATTCAAGATGACCCCTGCACCTTCTGGATTCAAGGCAGTCTTAAACTTTAGATCTGTTTACAACAACTGATAGAGGAGGAGCATTACAAGGGGGATTTTGGTTAGCTTTCCAGGGTTTGAGAAGGGAGGCTTGGAACACTGGATGGGCCTGATATGAGGCTGGAAGGTCCAAACATACAGCAGCAGTATTGATAACATTGGTTATCTCAAAGGGCCTTATGTAGCAGGGTCCTTATTTCTTTGAGGGACAGTACAAACACAAATTTAGTGTGGAAAGCCAAACCTTATCTCTTGGCTCATAGGTAGGAACCGAAGATTTCTTGGTGTCAGCATGTCCATTGTAACGTTGTTGACTGGCTACCAGGGTTTGGTTTAACAGGCGTTTATGTTCTCTGAGTTGTTTAATCTTTGGATTACTTCAGGTACAGTCGTAGGGCATGGTAGATCTGGAAGACCAGAAGGATGGTAACAGTAGTTTGCAAAGATCAGAGAACACGTGCTAGATTTATGCATGTGGTTGTTATAGAAGAACTCAACAGTAGAGAGAGGAGACCGCCAGTCATCCTGTAAATAGATAGAAAAACAACAGTGGTACTATTCTAATGTTTGTTTGGTCCATTCAGTCTTTCCATTTGTCTGTGGATGGTGTGCTGAAGACAACAACGTTGGATCTTTAATTGGCTGCAGAAGTGAAACCGAAAGCAGGATGTAAATTGTGACCCCCTGGTCAGTAATGATGGTTAAAAGGAATGCCATGAAGACAGTAAAATTTGCAAAAGAACAATGAAGTGGTGTGCGATGCTGAAGAAAGACAAATAGTAGGAATTAAATTTGCCAGTTTGGATAATTAATCTTCTACAACTAAAATGGTATCATGTTTGTGTAAAGGTGGCAAGTCCATGGCAATCTCCGACCAGGGTATCATTGGAACAGAGGAATAATCACATGAGCAGACATACTCCTTGGTGTCTTTAATAAGAGTTGACCCCCAGAAATAGTGACTGATGCCTTCTAGAGTCTGGCTGATTCCACAGTGACCTGCTGGCAGGGGATCATGGAACAGATTGGAATCTCTGGTTGAATAAGTAGAGGAATAAAGATTTGAAAGTCGTAGTATCAGAATCTTTATTTGAAGTGTGGGGTTACATCTGGTGAAGGGCTATCCATATTCCCAAAACGATCTAAATTAAGGTATTTACAGCAGGAAATTGATGAGCAGGTAATATTGTATCAGGTTTCTCTTTGCATGGATTATTATTGCCATTTATATAGCGCCAACAAATTCAGTAGCGCTTTACAATAGTGTGAGAGGGGGATTTAACTATAAATAGGACAATTACAAAAAACTTACGGGAACAATAGGTTGAAGAGGACCCTGCTCAATCGTGCTTACATTCTATAGGAGCTGGGGTGTAAAACACATTAGGACAGGAATTTGCAGTCAAATAAGGTGGGCTGCCCTTTAGGAGAGAGCAAGAGACAGGTTTGTGAGGTAGAGGTTAGTCTTGGAGGCCATAAGCTTTCTTAAAGAGATGGGTTTTAAGGCACTTCTTAAAAGATGCAAGACTAGGGGAGAGTCTGATGGTGGTAGGCAGGCTATTCCATAGGAAGGGAGCCGTACGCGAGAAGTCCTGTAAGCGCGAGTTGGCCCTACGGGTACGGACAACGGACAGGAGGTGGTCACGGGCAGAGCTGAGAGACCAAGAAAGGAAATACCTATGGATCTGTGAGGAGATATAAGAGGGGCTAGAGTTGTTCAGTGCTTTATAGGTGTGAATTAATACCTTGAATTGACTCCTATAGCATACAGGAAGCCAATGTAAGGACTGGCAGAGGGGTGAGGTGTGAGAGAACCGACTAGAGAGGAAAATCAGTCTGGCAGCAGCAGGTGCAGTACGGCTTTTTGGGAAGACCAATCAGGAGATGGTTACAATAAGCCATGCAGGAAATTACCAGAGCATGGACAAGCTCTTTGGGCGTATCTGGTGCAAGAAAGGGGCGGATGCGGGCTATGTTTTTAAGATGGAATCTACAGGATTTGATAACATGCTGGATGTGAGGCTCAAAGGTGAGGCCAGAATCAAGTATGACGCCAAGACAGTGCGCTTGCAAGGATGGACTGATGTGGGTACCACAATCTTGAAGGGAGAGCGAAAGAGGAGGATCAGTATTAGGAGGAGGAAAGACAAGGAGCTCAGTTTTAGAGAGACTGAGTTTCAGAAAGCAGGAGGACATCCAGTCAGAGATGGAAGAAAGGCAAGCACTGACACATTGCAGGACGGCAGGGGAGAGGTCCGGGGAGGAGAGATATAACTGGGTGTCATCAGCGTACAGGTGGTAGTGGAATCCAAAAGAGGTAATAAGTTTGCCAAGAGAGGCAGTATATAGAGAAAATAGAAAGGGACCAAGGACAGAGCCTTGGGGGACTCCAACCGAGACAGGACGAGGGGAGGAGGTATCATGAGAAAAGGAGACACCGAATGAGCATTGGGAGAGATAAGAGGAAAACCACGAGAGGACAGAGTCACAGAGACCAAGTGATTGAAGAGTTTGAAGAAGGAGAGCATGATCAACGGTGTCAAAGGCTGCAGAGAGGTCAAGAAGAATTAGTATGGAGTAGTGGCCTTTGGATTTAGCTGTGATTAGGTCGTTAGTAACTTTGATAAGTGCGGTCTCATTAGAGTGGAGAAGGTGGAAACCAGATTGAAGAGGGTCAAGGAGAGAGTTGGAATTGAGGAAATGAGACACGCGGGTAAAAACAAGTCTTTCCAGAAGCTTTGAGGAAAAAGGGAGCAGGGATATGGGACGATAGTTAGAGGGGGTGGACGCATCGAGGGATGGTTTTTTTAGTATAAGTACTACAGTGGCATGTTTAAGGTCAGCAGGGACAATGCCAGAAGAGAGAGAGCAGTTGAAGATATGCGTTAAGGAAGGCACGAGACAAGTGGAGAGAGATCTAATAAGATGAGATGGGACAGGATCGAGCGGGCAAGTGGTGGGGCGAGAGGAAAAGAGAAGAGCAGCCACCTCTTGCTCAGTAGCCGGAGAGAATGTCTGAAGGGTAGGAAAGGCATGATCTATGTATGGTTGAGAAACAGAATGGCAAGGAGGGGAGAATTCTTTCCTTAGCTGTTCTATCTTGTCAGTAAAGTAACATGCAAAGTTGTCAACAGTAAGGTTAGTTTGGGGGGTGGCCACAGCAGGGCGAAGAAGAGAATTAAAGGTGTCAAAGAGATGCCTGGTATTGCTGGAGCATGAACTAATGAGAGAGGAAAAGTAGGACTGTTTGGCAAGGGCTGCGCTGTATGAACACAATATGAATTTATAATGGAGAAAGTCTGACTGGGTGTGAGACTTCCTCCAGGAGCGTTCAGCACAACGGGAGCATCTTTGCAGGTAGCGTGTTGCTTTAGTATGCCACGGTTGGGGGCGGGTCCTCCTCGAGGTGCTGGTTTGGAGCGGTGCTGCAGAGTTCAAGGCAGAAGTGAGGGTAGTGTTATATGTGGAGATGGCCAGCGAAGGACAGGAGAGGGAAGGGATGGACAGCAGTTGTGAATCAATATCAGCTAACAACTGCTGGAGATCAAGAGAATTAAGGTCCCTCCTGAGTTGAGGGGGGTTAGGCTGAGTTTATTGGGTGAGGGGGTACAAGAGAGCAAACAATAAGAGGTGGTGATCAGAGAGAGGAAATGGAGTGTTGCAGATATTAGATACTGTACATGCATAAGAGAAGACTAGGTCAAGGGTATTGCCAGCTACATGGGTGGGAGAATTAGCCCACTGTGATGGTCCAAGGGAGGAAATAATTGAGAGTAGTTTAGAGGCTGCAGAGGTCAAAGGTGGGTTAATAGGAATATTGAAGTCCCAGAGAATTAGGGATGGAATATTAGAAGAGAGGAAATAGGGTAGCCAGGCAGCAAAGTGGTCAAGGAAGAGAAGAGGGGAGCCAAGGGGACGATAAACAACAGCAATGTTAGCAGAGAAGAGTTTGAAAAGGCGAATTGAATGTATTTCAAATGATGGGAAAAAGAGGGAAGGGGGGGTGGGTAGAGGTTTAAAGGAGCAGTGAGGGGAGAGGAGAAACCCTACACCACCACCTTTACATTCAGAGTTTCTTGGGTTGTGGGTAAGTTGAAGACCACCGAAGGACAAAGATGCAGGGGTAGCAGTGTCAGAGGGGGAGAGCCAGGTTTCTGTTAAGGCTAGTAAATCTATTGAACGAGAGATGAAGAAGTCATGGACAGCAGTGGATTTAGTAATATTGCCAACAGAGCGTGCATTCCAGAGGGCAGCGTTGAAGGAGGATTTAGAGGAACATGAGATGGGTATGAGATTAGTGTGGATCCTTGGGTTAGTATGTGGTGAGTTTGCTGAGATGGGACCGGGATTTGAAGAGACATCAGCTGCTAGGAACAGAAGGATAGAAAGGAAGTGAGGGTGGGAGTAGGATTTGAAAGTTTTGTAGGAGGGTATGTATGTAGAGGATTTGGGAGGAGTTGGTGGAGATAGGCTAGAAAGGTATGTGTAGAGTGCCTGGGATGAATAGAGAGGGGAGGGTAGTAAGGTGGAAGTAATGAAGATGGTGTTGCCAGGGACAGGTGAGCAAAAGGATAGATATATTTTAGTAATGAAAGAAGTTAGTGTTAAAGTGAAAAATAGAAAGGAGAACATTAGAGAAAGTGTATTACATAGAATATATATATGCACATATATAAATCATACACATATACACAAACACAAATATCAATGAGTGTTTAAACCATTGTAATGATGCAATATGTTAACAGAGGATTTTATGTGAGGAGAGGTTTAATGACTAGAATGGTGTGTTTTGGAAACCAGCTGATTTGCACTATCTATAAGTAAGGTAATGACCATGGAGTGGGTAATCTTCCAGAGATGATACCTCTGCTCAGAAGATTCTGCAGGACTTGGTTGCTTGGGAGTGCTGGGTGTTAATGCTGTTTTAAGTGGCCCAGTCTGAAATATAAGGTCTGAGGTTAGAAAGAAAAAAAAAAGAAATAAAACACACTATTATGGGTGGGGAGACATGGGGCTATTGATGCAATTAATTAGAGATGAAAAACCAGAGGAGAGAACATTTGGGATAAAAAGATATGAAGGGTCAGATAGGTGAAAGTCATAAACCATGAACATAAATTTACAAGATTATCAGTGAGAGTAGTAACACTAGCTAAGCAAACAATTAACGTAGAGAATGAACAAAAAATGACATAATCATACCAACTTTAAGAAAAACAAAAACAGAAGATCAGGATGGGAGATATAGCTATCAATTAAGTAGTGATAGTATAGGGAGGGAGATAGAATAGAACACAATTTTAAATTAAGATCTGACTCTTCAAACTTCCTGGATAAGACATCAGCCTTTTGATTCTTTGAACTGGGACAATATGTATTTTCAGTTGGAATTGTGAGAAAAACAGAGCCCACCAGGACTGGTGAGGTCGTAGACATTTGGCTGATCTGAGGTATTCTAAGTTGTGATGGACTGTGAACACTGTAACAGGCAAAGGAGCGCCTTCCTGCAGATGTCGCCATTCTTCTTAAGTGCATAGAAATAAAATGCAAAAATGTAGCTGCTGTGTACACTTTAAATATACATGATAAAGTGCACCAAGATTACCCATAACAGTTACTGACCTAAGGCTGGAGATCAAAACTCCCCCCCTCCCACGTTTCGGCCATTGCCTTTGTCAAGGGGGTTTGTATCACAGTGTACCTGGATGTGTAGATTGTATGACTGTGTGCCTTTATGTCTGTGTCTGTATGACTCTGTTTGATTGTGTGCCTGCACATCTCTGCGACTGTCCCTGAACAATTATGTCTGTGTGCTTGTATGGTTGTGTGTGTTGCTATAGATCTATGTCTATATGGCTTTGGAGATAAAAGACACACAGAAGGCCCTGGGGGAGGGACACACAAAATGGGCTGAGGTGAGACAGCCCCAGAAAGGCACTAGGGGAAAGAAAGAGACACACAAAGCAGCTGGGGGTAGTAAGAGACACACAAGGGGTGTAAGATGCACTAAAGGGGGATAATTTACTCTAAAGGGTGTACAAAATTATAAAGGGGGGTTACGAGACACACAAGTGAAGACATATTTTGTTGTGGGGGGCAGCAAAATTCATCTTTGCTTGTGTAGCCAAACATCCTTGCACTGTTCTGGACACACACACAGATATACAAACAGATACACAAGTTGAAATTTAAAAAAACCTCCTACTTCTATACCTTTTGTGTGCAAGTGGGTGCTTCCTGGGCTGATTGAAGATGATGTGAGTCTGAGGCTGTCTATAGTGCACTTCCTCCCAGCACTGTGTGCAAACATTAAAGGGGCCTGGTTGTGCTGTTAAAGGGACGCACCGGGGGTGGAGCCTAGCGCTTAAACGAAATGGCCGCAACATACTGAAGCTCCTGAACAGGGAAACAAAAGCCGACATAAATCAGACCCTAAACCATGCCATCGGGAGAGTAAAAATACCCACCTTGACACCTCCGGAGGTGAGCCACACACAGATGCCTTTCCTATTCCCGCAAACTAGCAGGAAAACCCGACGGAGATCTGGGGCCTACCCTGAGACTCGCACCGCATGGGCAACGCTGGAAATACCGGAGTGGCCAGAGACATACATATACTCACCTCCGTACCAGCCCACACACCCCTTGTGGGTCACGGACACCATGGGCAGAAGAACCCAAAAGCCACTACCAGGTGCAAGCAAAGACACCCAGGATATAGGTGCCATGCTACAGCGCCCAGCCACCACAAAGATGGCGACAAAGCCAGAGCAAGACGAAGGCTCAGGCGGCCATGAGGGACCTACAGAGAGGCCCACAGAATCCTCACATATCAGACCGCACCAAGCAGACCCAGTACAGGGACCTAACCTGACCCCAGCTACAAAACAAGACATTTCCGACTTACTGCACAAAATGAGGCAGCTGCATGCTGCTGACTTGGATTTGCTCAAAACCGAAATCATGGCGGTCACGGCACGCACACAGGCCTCCGAGGAGGACATCTTGGACTTGAGGCAGGAGGTTCAAGGTCTAAAAGAAACCTTACACCAATTGCAGAATTCTCAGGCCACTCTAACAACCAGGGTGGCCCAGGCAGAGGATCGCCACAGGCATATAAACATCAAGATCCTGGGCATACCTGACTCCTTTGGCATAACAGAACTACCCCACTACCTCAGACAACTTACTACCTCCCTCATGCTACACGCCCAGGCGAAGAAACTCAACTTTGAGGGCTTCTACCGCATCCCCAAACCGAGACAAGCATCACCACAAGCCTCGCAGGACGTAATAGTCCGATGCCACTCGACCACCGGCAAGGCCCAACTAATGGCCACAGTCCGGGGCAAGACTCCGCTCAATTTTGAAGCCTCTCAACTTCTACCAAGACATAACCCGCAACACACTATTATGGCGCCGATCAATGCGGCCAGTGACCAGCCAACTACGCAACGCGGGCATAGAGTAACGGTGGGCATTACCACGCACACTGATAGTCACTAGAGAGGGCTGCACGAAGAGACTGTCCACACCAACGGAAGCAGACTCTTATCTCCGAACCTTGGGGGTCCCCACGACAGAAGTGATGACAGCAACTCCATCAAGTTCACAAACCTGGGACCCAGAGAGAACTGTGCCCTTTACCCCTGGAGGGAGCAAACACCCAGCAGCCCCGACCTGAAAGAACTATGCAAACCTGTAAGATGATATGCCACACTGATAAATCAAGACTTTATGTTCTAAGCTTTTCGTTCAAAGACTTTTGTTTTAATACGTTTTACTTAAGCTCCCTCTAACAAAATATAAACGCACCTGGCACAGGACACACAAGAGGCACTAACTTCCCGATCACCATCGGACACTAGGCACTCAACTGGCACACAAACCCTACTTTAGTAGGACTCCCACACCGAAATAGGAAGCTCCCCACACCCACTAGACAATTACCAAGACTCGCGGCGACACCAACCCCCTCAAACTCCCCCAGGGTTAGGGGAACAACACACACGACCCAACACACCACAATCGCCCTACTAGACCCTTGCGGGGCCTATGCTACCCATAACAAGATAACCCCTAAACCTGGCTACACTGGCTTACATAACCGACTCACGACAACACATTCAAGCCCCACAAACGAGGGTACTGTGTTATCTTCCAAGGCGCGCCTCAATCACCCCTCACTGGACTCCGGTTAGAGACAGGGCTTTAGCCTAGACTAGACACCCTACATACCCGAAACCAAAAACCGAGCACACCTCTCTATCAGACTGCATCACGGTAGACTAACAGTACCTACCAGGATGACCGACTACCAAATCTCACTCTTTGCCAAAGAGAAGCGACAAAACGGTTCGGATAGACACACGACCCATAGACGGCATGCAAATGCCTTCACTTGACAACCGACCAGACAGTCAGTCCCACTCACTTACCAATTAAAAATAAGTGCTTTGAAAACACCTACTTTTACAGTGCAACTGCAAATGAATACTATTTGTATGCTTCTTGAGAATACTATTGTATGCAGTGTGATACAGTTTATCCTACTGTATCACACTGCACATGAAAACAAAGAATTTAATAAATAAAGTGACACACCACCTGGCTGGGCACCTGATCAGACTAGCTTGCCCAAAGTGTCCTAAAAGCCTACAGACCATGGTGTAGCCACATTGACTGCTTTTGCATTAGTTCTGGCACCGGGCAGGCCACCTAATATAGTGCTGTGGCACACCAGATGAGGAGCACTGATATAACAGACAAATGACAATGGCTGAATGCCAAATAATATTATTTTGAAAAGCAACAAAGGGTTTGATATGTCAAATGCTGTTCTATAACTGAAGTAGCAATTTTCCTTAAACAAATTATCATCAAGCACTGCTCAAAAGCACTCAAGAAATGGTTGCCAAGAGTAACAAGAGTTCTGCTTTCTCATCCAGCTCCTGCATAACTTTGGTTGACATTTGTGTCCCACCTCACCTTGCCTTCATTTTCCATCCTTATATTTCTATGCTCTGCTGAGCTGGTCTCTGAGCTACGGTGTATGATTTTTTTATTCCTGAATACATCAGTAAAACGTCAACAAATTTTTCCCACACAATGATTTGCATCTTTGGCATTTAAATAGTATAGATGACTCAACTGTAGCTTTTTTAAATAATATAGAATACCCAATGAATTCAAAGCTGGCAGATAAAATTTAATTTTTTTCAATCTATTTATTTTGATCAAATGTACAGCAGTAAAATACAAGGTGGTTACATGTAAAAAAAAATAGACATTAGTACTAGCAGTCTTCTTGATTTCCACCCTTTGGACTATAAGTTCCTGAGGTACAGAGTGACTGCTGTTATTCTATGCGGGACTAAGTCCATTGTTGCTACAAAGCGCTTTTTGCTAATTTCATTTCATTTAATTGTATCACTGTTTAATGTGAGTGTTTAGTTATAGTTATTTTAATTGTATTAAAGTATTGCACTATTATTTTCTCTCTATTTTTCTTTTATATGAGAAACTCTCCCATGGAATTGGTGATTTTATTATTATACTACTGACTGTGGCCCCTGATTTGTGTAACAAGAGAAATCTCAATGTATCCATCCTGGTAAAATATTTTATAAATAAATAAATAATTCTTAGTTTTTATTGGAAATGATTCTACTCAGTTACTTCGTATTCCAAGAGGGAATAAAGGAGGGTTAGGTTGGGGGCGTGAGGGGGGTGTGGGGAGATAAATAATATAATAAAGAACTTCCATTAAGGTGGAAAGATGGACTAATGAACGAATCGCATGTTGAACAAAATTATTATATTTATGATTGTTCATTCTTGTAAATTAATTAAATTGGTACACCTCTGTGTGTCTAGCCTTTTTAAGTGTACCAAATTAGGTAGCTGTTGTGTTTAGTCATTTGGTATTCTTAAATATGGCAAAGCCACATAAGGGTACCAAATCAGGGAACTATCTACTAAACAATTACCCAGTTTGATTTCTTATCGAATAAACAGTGACCCAATCTAGTTCCTTAAACACATTACATTATACATTATACAATTATGCAATGTTTTCCTATGGGGTTTTGGGTGACGCTGGACATGCATCGCATAAGGACGCCCAGCGTCAGTTAGGTGACAAAAGTGGCCTAACAGCCCAGAAGTTCCCTTAGTGGCCCTCTGATAGACAGCCACTAGAGGTGGAGTTAACCCAGCAAGCTAATTCTTGCAGTTTCTTAAAAACTGCAATAATTAGCTTTCAGGGTTAATGGGCCTGGAACACTGCACCCAGACCACTTCAATGAGCTGAAGTGGTCAGGGTGCCTATAGATTTTAACTTTAAAAGTTTTATTTCTAAATTGACTCATCATATACAGGAAGCTCCAGTAAGGTCTAGCAAAAAATAACAGTGGAGGATATAAGAAATTCTAAATTAAACATACTGTGCAATAAGGGAAGTATAAACATTAGATGACTTTACAGGAAGTGTTTAGGAAGGCTGTGTAAGTCAAACACAGGGAGGTGTGACTAGGGCTGTATAAACAAAGTGTTTTAACCCTTAAATGACAGGTACTTGAGCAGTGAGACAGCAGGGGCATGATCTATACATCAAAAATGCTTAATTAAGCTAAAGCTGTTTTGGTGACTTTTTAGTGTTCCTTTTCTTTATCTTGATCTTTCAGCTGCTTAGTAGATAGCTAAACCACTAAAAGATTTTTCGGTGGTCACAGCAGTCCATTCATCCAAATGGAATTCCCAAACTAAAAAGAAAAAATGGACACATTTTTGACACATTGAATCGACTAAGGGAAGAAACTCAGTTCCGCTGAAACTAATTTTATTTTTATTCCATTTCGTTCACACGAATCAGAAGTTTCTTCCGTGTACAGATCTACTAGATACCACTGTTACAATATAGTTTAAAAGAAAGCATAAAGGTCATACAAATATATAATGTTGCATTGCATTGCTCCAAGAGTTACAAATGTCATTAAATAAATTATTGTTAACACTATTTATAGTTAAGTGTTTATAAAAGAGTCTATCTTATTTTATGAAATCCTATTTGTCTTTCTGCTGTAAAGCAACTCAGAACTTGATGTCTGCTGGAGATGTGAATGGAAATATTCATTACATCTGAAGTATGTTCTTATCTAATTCAATATAAACTGACAGCTGAAATGCTAATGTGACTGAGTATTAGATATAAGATTGAAACACTAAGATTTTTATTTAGGATTGGTACATTTCTCCATATACCATTTATTTTTCATGGTTTTACATGATCATATTCAGATTTATAGCATATCTAATGTATATCAGACATGTGACTATTTGTTACATAACAGAAGAATTAAAAGACAAATGTGGCTGATCTCTGTAACTACAGTACCCTCCACTAATATTGGCACCTTTAGTAAATAAGAGCAAAAATAAGAGTGAAAAATTGTCTTTCTTGTTTAACCTTTTTATCTTTTGTTTAAAATTTACACAAAAATATTCTTCTCTAGTGGATATCAAATAATTGCAAACATAAGCACGTTTAGCCAAAAATTAATCATCTTTGCTAAATATATGAGTGTGGCACAATTATTGGCACTGTTTTAGGGAATACGTTTTGCTACCTCCCTTTGTCAAGGTAACAGGTCTGAGTCTTCATCTATCTACCTAGGGAATATATGGCAAGGGATCTTAGACAATTCTACCATTTATAATCTCTCCAGATCCTTCAAATTTCAAGGTCAGCAGTGTCCTATGGGGTTCAAGACAGGGGACTGGTATGGCCATAGCAGGACCTTGTTTTTGTGGTCAGTAAACCATTTTTGTGTTGATGTTGATGTATGACTTGGATCAGTGTCCAACCATTTTAGGCTTTCTGGCAGGGGCAGTCAAGTGTTTATTTAATATCTGTTGATATTTGACAGCTTCCATGATGTCATGTTTCCTAACAAAATGTCCAGGTCATCTGGCAGAAAAACAGCCTGAAAACATCAAAGAGCCACTACCATATATAACTGTGGTTATGACGTACTTTCCATATGGCTCTTTGTGTGCACCAAACCCACCCCTGCTGTTTATTGGCAAAAAGCTTTATCTTGGTTTCATCTGACCATAGAACCCAATCCCTTTGAAATTCCAGTGCCTGGCAAACTAAAGACATTTGAGTTTGTTTTTGGATAAAAGTAGAGGCTTTATTCTTGAAACCCTTCCAAACAACTATAGTTTTGGAGACCTTTTTGACCCCAAGACAAAAATAACTTCTGTAATTCTCCAGCTGTGCTCCTTGGAGATTTTTTGACCACTGTAACCAACCTCTTCACTGTGCGGTGAGACAATATAGACACATGTCCTCTTCCAGGCTCATTCATAACATTTCCAGTTGACTAGAACTTCTTAATTATTGTCCTGATGGTGGAAATTAGATTTTTCAATGCTTTTACTATTTTCTTACAGCCACTTGTGTGAAGCTCAACAACCTTTTGCTGCACAAAACTGTTATATTTTTTGGTCCTACACATTGTGATGAATGACTAAGAGAATTAACCTATATGTTACCTCATACTTATACCCCTGTGAAACAGGAGGTCAGGTTGAACCTTTGTCCTTTTTCTAGTCACTTGTGCGGTGTATTAAAGAAATGTAAAATATTAATGGGAATATACTTCAAACATATTTTTCACATATGAATTTATAGGGTGCCAATAATTGTGCCTAACATATATTTAACAAATATATATTTTTTATAAACCTGTGATGTGTTTGCAATTGTTTAATATCAATGAGAGAACAGTATTTTTGTGTATTTTGTTTTAAACAAAAGATCAAAAGGTCAAACAATAAGAGACATTTTCACAACCTTCTTGGCTTATATTTATCAAGGTTGCCAATATTAGTGGTGGGCACTGTATGTAATCCTGCTTGTAGCTGGGTCATATTTTGTTGTGATGCAGAAGTATAATTTGTTTATTGAATTATTGATTTTAAATTGATTGGTTTCATTTTTTGTTTAACATTAATGAAGGGTCATATATTGAAATTATTGACAATAAATAATACTGATGTCAGAATGTAAAGCATAGATATACAGACTGTTTGAAGGCACTGAGAAACATAAGTGCAAAAGTGTAATTTTAAATTATGTTTGACTTTTCACTCCAAAATAATACAATGGTCTATCATCAAAAATACTTTATATATGTTGCACTATATGTTAGCAATTGTTAAAAGGACATGGTTGTAGAATAAGCAGATCCCTTGTCACAGCCTTAATTTCTCTATTCTGATTTAAATTCACTACAATTCAGACATCAGAATGCACCAGTTAACTAAAATTATGCTTCCCCAAACCCTTCCAAGTACTGAGTATCGGGTGTAGTAAGCAGCAGTCAAGTAGCTATATTCAACTTATCTAGCAGCTATATGTATTTTCTCTGGAAAGGAAATGATGCCATGTATTGAACTACAAGCTCTTCCAAATACTGGACAAGAATTTAAAGCATTTACTCAGCTTCCATTGAAAAAATTAGAGATTATGATTGGCTCACAGTTACCAGCAACTTCCTAATTTGCTAAACTCGGCTGATCTCCAGAACTAGTTAACCTATAATGGAGTGTCATAGCTCTGACTTATCTACCTCCTCTGGTGGAGTCCAGATTTGGACGGCAAAGGAGCAGTACCTGCTGTGATCACCTGTAGTCTCGCTGCTCAGTTCTCTACAGTTAACTACATCATTTTTACAACCCTAGTCATGTCCAACCCTGACTGTGAATTACACAAATTGGTAAATTAGTAATGGGAGGGGATTTTAACTCAATTAGTGATGAGATGCTGCATAAAAAAAAAAAGGGAAAAATCAAAATAGTAAACAGAGCTGGAGCGAAAAGATTTAAAGATTTCTTGAGAAGACATAATCTCCTAGATGTTTGGAGAACATTACACCCAGTGGAGAAAGACTTCACTTTCTATTTAATTCTTTTTTCCTCATATTCTTGTATAGACCTTCTTTTGGTGAAAACCTCTCTGTTTGAGGAGGATATAAGTTGTAAAATCTCCACTGCTACATGGTCAGACCATGCACCATTTAAAAAAATATTAACCCAAACAAAAATGGAGTAAAACAAGAATGGAGATCGAATTAATCCCTACTAAAATTGAGTCATGTTAAGCAGAAAATCTCATTAGAAATAGATTTTGTTTTAAAAGAAAATGATAATAATCAGGTATCAAAAGGAATGTAATGGTGCGCCTTTAAGGCAGTAATAAGGGGCCATGTAATAAAAAATATTTGCAATGGAAAAAAAGGGGATTTTCTTATCTTTCACGTAAAACTAATTCAACTAGAAAATTTGAATAAAGAAAATCCATCAAGGTCTACTTATGAAGAAACTGTAGAAATATTTTTTTTTATAAAAATGTAAGATATAGAAAGATTAAATCTATTTTTTTAAATTAAAACCAACCTGATATATTCAAGGCAATAAGGCAGACAAACATCTATCCAATAAATAGAAATTTCATAATAAAAATAATATGATTAATAAAATTGTAGAACAGTTTTAAAGGATACAACATTTTATTATTTTATATATATATATATATAAATATATATATTTTTTGTTGGTTTGTTTGTTTGTTTTTTTATTTATCAAATTCCTGTCATCATCATTCCTGCTGTATCCTGCAAATCCTAGGTTTGGATAATACCACCAATGCTCTTCAATCCAGAGCAGGCCATAGCACGGAAAATTGTAAGTAGGATACCACCTTTTTACTTTGAATTTGTGTATGTACATACTACACCATAAGACTTATCTCTACTGTGTCTCCTTACATATAGTGGACGACAAGAATCACAGAGCTACATATATCCATAGACGGGATTGTACCATCCAGGTGATTAACAACAGAGATCTTAGTAGCTCAACCAAGTGCGAGTGAGCACTCTATACACTTTATTTTAAATAGTTTAAATTACTATTACATATTGCACTATTTTTGTTCGTTTCTGCTTCCCTTTAAGGTTATAGAAGCCACCTACTTCAAACAAATTGCAATTGATGTAAATATACCTTTTGTATATATACACATTGAGTTTTGTATGTTTGCACCTTATTGGGGCACGGTTTATCACTCTGTTTGCCAATATTTGTTCTATCAGTGAGATATTGGGAATTCTCACAGATTTACTGCTGCCCATCTATTCCTGGTTTGTGTACTGAGCGCTTACTCCTGTCTATCTTATACATATGTTATTAGCCTGCAAGCTTTAGCTAGTGAGAAAATGGAAGACAGAAGAGAATTTAGATTTAAAATACATCTTTGTACAAATGGAACACCAAGCATTAATGAAAAAGGGCTATTATTTGAATAATAAAATGGTTTTAGTGTGTAGGGTATTGGGAAAAAATGGTCCATATGGTTTAATTAAAACAATTTAATTCTCTCAAGCATTGTTCAAATCTCGTAAGGGTTGAGTGCAAACGTAAAAAAAATTAATTCTCCCTATTGCCTCCCCTGGTGAGTGGGGGTACTCTCTCCAAGACCTGATAACATAGCTGCAAGACATGATGTATTTTTTCTCTAAAGTGCTGTGCGACTGGTGCTTCTGAATTAGCATAAAGAATAGTAGTTTTGTGCTGTGACACATGGTCTTTCAAAACATATATAGTCTTTCCTTCAATATAAACTTGGTAGCACCAGGGTGTGCACAATTTACCTGTTAGCGTAGACCTCGTTTTCTTTATCTCTTACAGTTAATGTCAGTACCTATGTTTACTTTACGACTTACAGTGCCGTGGGAGATTCTTTATCTCCTTTTTCAAGCTCTGAAGTACTCACAATGCTGCTAATTTGCCTTAAAGGACCACTCTAGGCACCCAGACCACTTCAGCTTAATGAAGTGGTCTGGGTGCCAGGTCCTTCTAGGGTTAACCCATTTTTTTTATAAACATAGCAGTTTCAGAGAAACTGCTATGTTTATGAATGGGTTAAGCCTTCCCCTAATCCTCTAGTGGCTGTCTCATTGACAGCCACTAGAGGCGCTTGCGTGCTTCTCACTGTGATTTTCACAGTGAGAGCACGCAAGCGTCCATAGGAAAGCATTGTAAATGCTTTCCTATGCGACGGGCTGAATGCGCGCGCAGCTCTTGCCGCGCGTGCGCATTCAGCCCAGGAGGAGGAACGGAGGAGGATCAGAGGAGGAGAGCTCCCCGCCCAGCGCTGGAAACAGGTAAGTTTAACCCCTTTTCCCCCTTCCAGAGCCGGGCGGGAGGGGGTCCCTGAGGGTGGGGGCACCCTCAGGGCACTATAGTGCCAGGAAAATGAGTATGTTTTCCTGGCACTATAGTGGTCCTTTAACGGAACTCTTTAGTAGAAAAAATACATTTTCAACCATTTAGTAGATATAACCAAATTAAAACATGTATGTATTTAATGACACATTTTTGAGGGTATATCTAAAACAAATTGCAGATCTCTTGTCTGAAGACTATGTAAGTCCTTCTCTTCTTCCCCATCCCAGACATTGTGTGGTTGTCCAATCACAGACTTCCCAATGCAGTTCAATGAGAAGTCTTTGCAAGACAGGTGCTCTGGTCACTTGCCTGTCTCTTGAATTTAGCTCCACTGAGCTAACCAAACCAGAAAGCAAGAGAAGATGTCTGCTTGAAAGCTAGGGGGTGTAACAATGTTTATTAATTTCTATCGAAACCTGAACTATAAAAAAAAAATGAAAAATAGAACACACTCTTCACAGATAAAGCATTTCAGCAAGCTAAACAAGGTACGGAGTGTTCCTATAAAGGACATATGTCACTGCAAAAATATTTTTATTATAATGATCCTTTCATCAAGATTTAAAAAAAAATAGCTTTTGTTCCAAATTAAGTCATTGTCCCGTGCATTCCACAAAGCACTTGCAGATGTCTGAAAAGCATAAAGAGCAAATCCTATTAGTTATATCCCCACACATCTGTTACGGACCACATCTGTCAATCAGTCGGACTGATGATGTCACTACACTGTGCAGGGATTGAAGCAGAGAAGACCACAGAAATGAACTGTCTGATTCAAACAGTGTCTGACCCAAAGTGCATGTATATAGCTGAAGGATCCTGACATATACTACAGTTAGGAATTTGTTTTTCTCTTTTTTTTTTACATATTTTTTTTTTAACAAAAAGTTAATTAATTTCAATACTTTATGAAATAATTATTAAACTAAATTTTTTTTTGAGGAGACAGATGTCCTTTAATTTGCGGAGTTTTTGCTCATTCTAAATGTATTCATATATTCATATAGACAAGATAAGTGCAGTTTTTTTGCACGTTGTTTTTAGATATAACCACAATGACAAAAAATGCATAATTAAATGCATGCACATTGTCATTTAGGGTATTTCTACTAAACAATGATTTTTATTTTGTATTTGGGCAGTGGATCGTCCACTTAATTTTGTCAACTAGTATATATTAATGCATTCTGCAACTTAAAAAGGAACTGTCACTTCCAATGATTTATAATATTATATTTACTTATCCCTATGTTTATATATAATATATGTGTCTTGTGCGATGTGAACAATAAAATGAAAGGGTTAATGCACATACAGTTAAAGTCATTTGCTGCAGGATGTACAACTGCATGGCAGGGTCATTAGCCAGCCCAAAGCAAGAGTTCATTCAGGGTTATCTTATATTTTATTTATTTATTTATTGCCAGCAGTGGTTACTCTAAGTAGAAAGAAAACTGAGTTTTGATAAAAACACTGTTTTCAGCTGGATTAATTCTTTAAATTTAGAAATCCACAGTTCTTTATCCTGCAACTGGGCACCTCTATCTTGGCTCCCTGTCAATCATTGTTATAAGATCTGTCCTTTGAACCTGCCAGTCACCACAGTGAAAGCATAGAGAGAAAATAAGTAAAGCAATGTTTCTTTTCATCTTCTTCATTAGCAATGTATGCCCTGGCTTTCCCTTGTTGGAACTTAATTCTGATGCCATTTGCTATTATAATTTTAAAAGAAAACAGAGCATCTCATGAAAAAAACAAAACTACTTAACACGTTATTTGTAATTTGGAGTGATTTATTAAATTGTGTAAATTCCAGTCGAATCAGTTTCCCTTTAAGTTATTATTTCATGATATAGTATTCATGATTTCTCTTTAATGCCAGATATCACAGTTTTGTCATAACATGAGACATGTATCACAAATCTAAAGATTGGGAGGATTTGAATCCTGATATGCAGTTGTTAAGGGGAATGTTTTTGGATTTGTTCTTAACTTACAGGCAGAAGCAAATATGCAGTCCATCTCATGTCAGCTCCTGTCAGACGAATACAATAGGCATCAAACTGCTTCTCTGTAAAATGATCATATCTGTAAAGAACTACAGTGTTTAACTGTATGATGTAAAGCCTACAATTAGCCCGAGATATGAATGAACATCTTGTCTGAAAATGAAGCTCATTCAAACTGTCAGTGGAAGAAAATGAAAAGTCACACTATGATAGATTATTAGTATCTCTGTTTGGGAAATGAGAAATAGAAGTAGGTTTATAAATGGGGTCACGTTAGCCATGATATTCTAGTGACCTAGCCAAATAAATCAGAAATATTGTAGCCCATCTACATATTTAGCACACTGTTCTCAACAAGAGGACTGCATATTGGCTGGCCATGTCAATTATACATAGTCCTCGTCAAGACCATAAAAAAGACTACAGGTGAAACGTAGGATGGATCTACTTATTGAGAGAAGACCTGCACTACTCTGGACTTCACATATGGATTATTCATACAAACGTGTCCAAAGGAGCACAGCAATGCTTGGCTGTAAACTCCGGGATAAGATGCCCAACCACTCTCAGATCAGTTGGCAGTTCTCGTACTGTATCTTCAGATGGAGCAGAGATCCCGTACAGAAACATTCATAGAAAAGCTTGAGCAGTTTAATATTATTAAAAAGAAAATTAAAAAGTGATCTACTTTCAATTTCTGCTGTGGCCAACTCTGCGAGGCAATACTGACAAGGATAGTATGAGAGTATTGTAAGTCTGTAGGATGCCCTAGGGTACATGTTTAGGTACTTAAAAGAACACTTCAAACACCATAACCACTACCACCTTCAGAATAGAACTTCCAGCTAGAGAGGAAGCTTTAGTAGACCCCTGGTGCTGCTCACTGTTAGACTGTTTTCAAATGGTTTACCACTGAATACACTTCGGTCCCCACTTGAGGTATGGCTAAGGCAGGGATTAGATTTTTTTATAAGCCATACTAATTCATACCAGCAAAAAGCAGTTGTATCAGGCTGAAAGCATTCAGTTGACACTCTTGGCCAATCACAGTTGCCTATGGCTGCTTGGGTTAATGCTTCTGTATTGGTCTGTGCAGCACAGAGAAGCCAGCTTTCAGGACTTTGTTTAGTATTAAAAAATTTAGAGGGAATGGACACTGAATGGAGGTTTGGTGTCAAGCAACTCTGGACAATATAGTGAGGGGAAAAAAGTATTTGATCCCCTGCTGATTTTGAACGTTTGCCCACTGACAAAGAATTAATTTTAATGGTAGGTTTATTTTAACAGTGAGAGACAGAATAACAAAAAGAAATCCAGAAAAATGCATGTCAAAAAAGTTATAAATTGATTTGCATGTCAATGAGTGAAATAAGTATTTGATCCCTTCGACTTAGTAGTTGGTGGCAAAACCCTTGTTGGCAATCACAGATGTCAGATGTTTCTTGTAACTGGCCACCAGGTTTGCACACATCTTAGGAGGGATTTTGTCCCACTCCTCTTTACAGATCCTCTCCAAGTCATTAAGGTTTTGAGGTTGACGTTTGGCAACTCGAACCTTCAACTCAATCCACAGCTTTTTTATGGGATTAAGGTCTGGAGACTGGCTAGGCCACACCAGTACCTTAATGTGCTTCTTCTTGAGCCACTCCTTTGTTGTCTTGGCTGTGTGTTTTGGGTCACTGTCATGCCCATCCACTACCGATTTTCAATGCCCTGGCTGAGGGAAGGAGGTTCTCACCCAAGATTTGATAGTACATGGCCCCGTCCATCATCCTTTTGATGCGGTGCATTTGTGCTGTCCCCTTAGCAGAAAAACACCCCCAAAGCATAATGTTTCCACCTCCATGTTTGACGGTGGGGATGGTGTTCTTGAGGTCATTGGCAGCATTCCTCCTTCTCCAAACATGGCGAGTTGAGTTGATGCCAAAGAGCTTGATTTTGGTCTCATCTGACCACAACACTTTCACCCAGTTCTCCTCTGAATCATTCTGATGTTCATTGGCAAACTTCAGACGGGCCTTTACATGTGCTTTCTTGAGCAGGGGGACTTTGCAGGCGCTACAGGATTTCCGTCCTTCACGGCGTAGTGTGTTACCAATAGTTTTTTAGTGACTATGGTCCCAACTGCCTTGAGATCAATAACACGAACCCCCCGTGTAGTTCAGGGCTGATTCCTCATGGTTCTCATGATCATTGAAATTCCACACGGTGAGATCTTGCATGGAGCACCAGACCAAGGGAGACTGACAGTTATTTTGTGTTCCTTCCATTTGCAAATAATCGCACCAACTGTTGTCACCTTTTCACCAAGCTGCTAGGTGATGGTCTTGTAGCCCATTTCAGCCTTGTGTAGGTCTACAATCGTGTCCCTGACATCCTTGGACAGCTCTTTGGTCTTGGCCATGGTGGAGAGTTTGGAATCTGATTAATTGTTTCTGTGGACAGCTGTCTTTTGTACAAGTAACGATCTGAGATTAGAAGCACTCCCTTTAACAAAAAGTGCTCCTAATCTCAGCTCGTTACATGTATACAAGACACCTGGGAGCCAGAAATCTTGCTGATTGATAGGGGATCAAATACTTATTTCACTCATTGGCATGCAAATCAATTTATAACTTTTTTGACATGCTTTTTTGGGATTTTTGTTTTTTATTTTGTCTCTCACTGTTAAAATACACCTACCATTAAAATTATAGACTGATCCTTTCTTTGTCAGTGGGCAACCGTTCAAAATCAGCAGGGGATCAAATACTTTTTTCCCTCACTGTATAACCACTAATATGAGATTAAGTGTTCACAGTGCCCACAGTCATGGCCGGATTAACATATGGGCTGATGGAGCTGCAGCTCCAGGCCCAGGCCCAGGCCCATGGAATAGGCCCATTTAAAAAAGAAAAAAAAATGTTTTACACACTACTCTTAGGTTTGCCACCTGACTGGTATTTTACTGGCACAGCCGGTATTTGAGGCTGCCTGGCCATGCCAGTATTGCAGTAATACTGGCAATACAAATGCAGGTATTTTTTCTGAATAAAGTCTGCAATACCAGCACCGGCCAGTAGGGGTCACTGTGTGTGGAGAGAGGCAGGGATAGGAAGTTACAGCATATCCCTGCCTCTCTCTACTACTCACTGATCTGTGGGGGAGCAGCAACACAGTACAGAGAGTCCAGACAGCAGCTCTACAGCTCAGGTAAGTGAGGGATGGGGGGACAGGCAGCAGGGACACATGGGGACACTAAGACACTAAGGGACACATGGGGACACTGAGACACTAGGGGACACATGGGGACACAGACACTAGGGGACACTGGGAGACCTGGGGACACAGACAATTGGGGACACTGGAAAACATGGGGATACTGAGACAGTAGGGGACACTTCGAGACATGGGGATGCGGAGTCACATGGAGACGCTGTGAGACGTAGGGAGACTTTGAGACATTGGGACACAGAGACACTATGTCCCCATGTCTCCCATTGTCCCCAGGTCCCCCAGCCAGTGTCCCCATGTCTCTGTGTGCCTAGTGTCCCCATGTCTCCCAGTGTCCCTAAATGTCCCAGTGTCCCCATGTTTCCCAGTGTCCCCAAGTGTCTGTCTCCCAGCCAGTGTCCCTAGTGTCTCAGTGTCCCCATGTCTCCCAATGTCCCTATGTCTCCCAGTGTCCCCTAGTTTCACAGTGTGTGTCCCCATGTCTCTGTGTCCCTAGTGTCTCAGTGTCCCCATGTCTCCCAGTGTCCACATGTCTGTATCCAGAAGTGCCCCCATGTCTCTCAGTGTCCACAAGTGTCTCAGTGTCCACAAGTGTCTCAGTGTCCCTGGGTCTCTCAGTGTCCCCGTGTCTCACTGTGTCCCCTAGTATCCTAGTGACATGGGGACACAGTGAGACATGTAGACACTGTGAGAAATGGGGACACTGGTAGACTAGGGGACTGGGCGACATGGGGACACTGACACTGTGATACATAGGGACACAGACACTAGGTGACTTGCAAGACTGAGACACTGGGAGCAATCAATCTATACAGCAGAATCAAACTGTGAGTAGTTTGTTGGTGATTTTACAGAGTTGTATCTTATGTCACTCCTTGTGATTTACATCATGTGATGTCACTCATAACTAATTAATTATACAAATGATTAAGGCTGGTATTTTTTTCCAAGGTGGCAACCCTAACTACTGTTCACATACTCTTGCTTAAAAGAGCACTATAGGGTCAGGAACACAATCATGTATTTCTGACCCTATTATGTTAAAACCACCATCTAGCCTCCCTGACTTTCTCTTGGCTCCCTAAATATAGTAAAATATTACTTGTATTCTGCCTCTGAACTGACTTTGTCTGCTGACATCATCAGAAGTGGTGGTCTGAGCAAATTACAATACTTCCCCATAGGACTGGCTGAGACTATCAACTAGGCAGATGAGGGGCAGAGCCAACACAAGTCAAACATGGCCCTGGCCAATCAGCATCTCCTCATAAAGATAAGATTGGTCCCGTAAGAAATATTGAATCAATGCATTTCTATGAGGAAAGTTCAGTGTCTGCATGCAGAGTATGGAGACACTGAATGGCAGTGCTGCACACTAGGCAGTACTGCCACAGGAAGCACCTCTAGCAGCCATCTAAGGAATGACCAGTGGAATTATTTTATCTGAAAAGACAGTGTTTACTGCAAATAAGCTGTAGTTGTTCTGATGACTATAGTGTCCCTTTACGTTTGGAAGCTTAAGAGGGATGTATGGGAACAAAACTTGTGTGGACTGGCTGACAATAAAATAAGTTTAGATAATGCAGACTTTGGTCTCTCTAACACTGTGGCATATTCCCTTTCTTCTACACTCACTACATACACCTTTTCTCTGTCCCCGACTATATACCAACAGTTTCTGCCTGCTAGTAAGAAGGTAAGGAGACAAGTGGACCAGCGAGTGCTAGGGGACAGTCCTTAGCAAGCACGGAGCGAGCACATCATTAGATGCATTCATGTCAGGCGCAGGGTGCTGCCTGCATAGTATGCCCTTGGTTGGACAGCATGCACGATTGGCAGGCAGCCCGACTTGCATTCATGCCAGGCTGTCCTTCAAATTCTTTGGACAGACTTGACCCCCTTTTTGGGCATGTTCACCCCTTTTGGCAGGCCTGGTTACATGATTCGCACCAGTGGCCCACCCTATTACCCAGCCCATTGACTTCCTGCTTCACTGGACACTGCTGTTAGGGTGTATGGATGTACTTGAAAGATGAAAGCGTGAGATTAGCATAGCGTATGTTTTTTCTTATAGCTGCATCCTATGAGTTTCCCTCTGGAACCATCTCCACCAGATACATAACGCTTGAGATGTATGATAAGATTCTGTAATTATTCCCATCATAATTGTCAGCACCAGGCCCACTGGGCTCTTAATCTGGCCCTGCCCACAGTGTCCATTTAAAATGGAAAAACATGAATGTGGTGATGTAAGGTTAAAGGAATATTCTAAGCAATAACATTATTTCACATTAATGAAGCGAATTAAAGTATAGATGCCGCTAAAGCCTTGCAACTGAAAACAGTTACATTTCTGACAAACTGAACTGTTTACATTTTGCAGTTTCCACTCCGACTAGTGGCAGTAATTCAGCAGTCTCTCTGGGGTTTGGACTGAAACACATTCAGTCATTGAATCTATTTGATATCCAGTGTCAGCAAAGTATG